AAGGTCATTGTAATCTTCGTAACGCATCCTATCAATATAACGCTTTTCTTCGTTCGTAATCCTATTCAAGTTACTATTAAAATAGAAATAATAGCATCAATTTAGTATAATTCGAATCGAATAAATTATCGTCATTATATAATAAGTGCAGCTTACTCGTTTTTATATTCACATATTTCACCTTCTGGATATTTACCGTCAGGGAAAAATTTGCTTACTGGAATTGTGGGTGGCTCAGTTTGTTGAGTAATTGAGGATCCATTTGTTTCAGCGACATTAGTTGCTGTTGATTTCTTCTTTGGTTTTTTCTTTTTTTTCTTTTTTTTTGGAGCTAAATATATATATTATTATTAGATCAAAAGCAATTTTATAACTTTAAAAAGTCACTATTCATTCCGATTGAAACTTACTTTCTCCAGTTGCTGCTTCACCTTCACCTTCCTCTTCTTCCTCGTCATTTTCGTCTTCGTTATTTATTTTGCCGTTATTATTTGGAAGCTCCACCTTTTCTGAGGTGGGCTCTTCCTTCACTTAAAGTCGGAAATGCAAGTGTTATTCTTTGTAAATTTCATTAGTTGTATAAATGTTTGTGTCCTGGTAAACCAGTACCTGCATCGGTTGAATCTACCTCTGCATTTCCGTTCGCTGGCTTCTTTTTCTTTTTCTTCTTTTTCTTTGTTGTAGTCTCGCTTACATTAGTAGAATTTTCTATTGTAACTTCTTCTATTTCTTCACCTTCTGTTGTAACCGTTTGTCCTTCCTTCAACATTTCGTTAAAAAAGTTAATGGACGAAGGATACCGATACAATAAAACTCAGCCACAAATGTATTTTATGATATCATAGGATAGATTAGTGGCGCACAGATCGATCAAAATTCCGAAATTCTGGGGATTGTAACGATAATCAATCCAATACCGAAGTTTAGAATTATAGGATTCGTTCGAAATAAAGGCATGTCTAATGTATTGGGACCAGAGAAACCAAAAGTTGATGGCGGGTTTGAAAGGGATTCTGAGGTAGATCTTCTCAAACAAATGAATAAAGTTCCTTTATTCATGACTGACTTACCTGAGGAAGAGAATGATGCACTTGCGGCTATTCAATCTTTACTTTACGAAGGCACACCTGAAGGTATTTTATTCTACAAAAAAAAAAAAACTAGAAAATTTTTTTTCTGTTTCAAAATATATTTATTTATATTTTTTTTATAAATAACAATAGAGGTTGCAGAGAATTTTAAAACCCAAGGAAACGAATGTTTTAAAACTGGAAAATCACAATATCAAGATGCGATAAATTTTTACACAAAAGCATTAGATGTAAATTGTCAAGATAATAAGATTAATGAAGCTTGTTTAACTAATAGAGCAGCTGTTAATTTAGAATTACGTAAGTAAACATAATTTTAATTTTATCAGGATAATATTTTATTTTATTAATTTATTATTACATTTATTACACACAAGATTACTTTTCTTTATAGAAAATTATCGTAAAGTTCTTAATGATTGTGCAAAAGCGATTAAATTAAACCCTCAAAATATCAAGGCATTTTATCGATCTGCGAAAGCTTTATATGCTCTAGATAAAATTGATCAAGCTTTAGATTGTTGTGAACATGGGCTTAGGGTAAATATAAATATTTCTATATATAATTTGTGATGATATAATTATTCATTATGTTTGTATAATATTATTAGATAGAGCCAAATAATGTAGCTTTACAACAACTTAAAGAGACATGTATTAAACAAACAGAGATACTGAATCAAAAGGCAATAATCAAAGAAGAGCGTGAACGAAAAGATCGAGAAACAAAAGAAGCGTTGGAGAATGCGATAAAGGTTAAAAAATATACATCTTTTTGATTAATTTTATTTAATCAAAAAAGCTAATGTATTTTTTATTAATAGATGCGTAATATTAAAATGGAAACAACTTCCAATACTCCAACATCACCGCATTCAGTATATCTCGATGCTGAAACTCAACAATTAATTTGGCCAGTTTTCTTCTTATATCCAGAATATAAAGAATCAGATTTTATTGTAGCATTCAATGAAGATAATACTTTTTTGGATCATCTTGAAGAGATTTTTGAACAACCAGCACCTTGGGACACGGAACGTAAATATAAACCAAATAATTTACAAGTTTACTATGAGTATACATTATCAACGGGTAATGAAGAGAAACAAAAATTAATCAAGATTGGTAAGAATTGTACTCTGAAAGAAGTATTGTCACATCCAAAATATATTGTAAAAAATGGTATTCCCAGTTTTATTATTTTGCATCACCAAGGGAAGTTTCAGGAGGAATTTTTAGCAAAATATAAAAAAAGTTAAATAAATATGTATATTCATAAATTCATTTCAAATAACCTACGTACAAGTCACTCTCGTTACGGTGAAAGTGATCCGTTATATTAATAAAAAATTTTAAAAATCCACTATATCGAGAGTTTATTAGTAAATTTATGAGATTTAATTAGTTTTCACTATATTGAAACGTTAATGTTTCATTAAATTCTTTTAATTTTCTTCTAAAGCTCTGTTCCCCGGCTGATGTAAAAGTCGATGAGTCATTTTTGATTATGAAATTCCAATCAGGAGATCTAGACTGTTTAAAAAGTTTATCGTTCAAATTCATTGATCCATTGTCGGCAAAGGACCACTTTAAGAAGATAAAATTTTAGAAATAAAGTATTTTAAAAGAAAACAGTCGATTTGGATAACATTATCGTTATACAAATTTGAGGCATTATTTAATTGGTCAATTTTAGGGGTGAACTACGCAGGTTTATGAGAAACTTGAACCCCATATTTTAATATCCAATTAAAGCATATCGATATACTGTATAAATACAAACCGAAAAAGATTTATTAAAAACTCCTTGGTTGTGGTCGTAAATACCGTTTTCGTGGAATTTTACTACTGCCTCGGCCCAAGGATTAGGATTAGTATTATGCTACAAAAATTCAGATTAGGATATTTTTAACGTGCTTTATATTAAATTGATTTAACTAACCCTACAGTGCCAACTGTTTTCAACCAAGTCCTTAACGTCCCATGAAGTTCGCTTTGCTTCTTTTTCAATGAAAAAATGAACACGTTTCCAGGTACTAGGTTTTTCCCAAAGTTTATATGGTTCTTTTCGTATTTCTTTTTGTATTTCTCTCATTCCCTCTTTATTTTCCCAGCATTTTAAGGCAAATTGACGCCAAATTTTATTGTTTGAAGCTAAGGAATGCCAATAACGAGAAACTTTAGAAACATTATGTAAACTATCATTATCGAGATCTTCAAAAATTAACCAATATAGTTCGAAGGGAAAGGGAGGTTCTGTAATTGTCGTCATTTAATACTTTAAGTGACGCGAGACTTTTTCACAAGTCAAAAGTTATGTGCCTTTTATACGTCTATAAAAATTGAAGGAATTACCCTGATACAGAACAACACCTTATCAGTTATGTTAATTAATTATCAGTCTGCACTTTAAACGCGAGTTACATAATATGTGCATGTATGACGTATAAGGTATGTACCTAAATTACGCGATTTTCACATGTAGTAATAGATAATGTTTGTGACACTGAATCAATACAGAAATAAACGATAAGAGAAAAAAATCAGTTGATATTTATCATTGACCAACTTTACGTGTAACAATCCGTTTGTCTAAAATAGAAGTTGCGCCAAATTCTTTTTCAAACTTTGAGCGAGAAATAAAATGTAGATAGAAACAAATTCTCGTTTTAGAGGTCTATTGTGCTATATACAGTATAGAAACGAGCCATTTGAATTTCCTAAAGTAAGAGTTGTATGTATACTGACATGTGAGTTATGAGAAAGACTGAAAAATGGCTCTAGTATTTAGTGGTCAAACCAAGCACGATGGTTTTTTGCATTGATAATTGGCTAATTCGTCCGTGCACAAATATTTCTTAACATTCCGCATTGATAAATAATTACATTTTAGGTACGGTTGGTAAAAAAGCTAATATTTTTCACCAATTTAAAGCAATAAATCTGATTTAAACACCGACGTAATAAAAAACATTTGCCATCGCCAAATGATTTACAAATATATAATTGGCGCACTAAGATTTTTTGATCATTTTTTTGAAAAAATTTACATAGTAATTTTATTATAAAATCGGTGCATTTTTAAAATGCTCTAACTATCGTTCTAAGAAAATTTAATTCTGTTAATTTGTAAATGATTTATTGATAGCATAGTTTAAATTATAGTTGTTATCCGAAACCCGAAACTATATTGTGAGACCCGAGAAGTGGTTAGGCTGGGTCCGGAACGATACACTATATAACGTGACTACGGGTCACGAGGATGATC